GGAGTGATGATGACGAAGCAGGACGAGAGTAGAGGGAGCTTCCTTGAATCCACCCAGCTTGCACAAGCTTATAATCCCCATCATCATTATCATGAAGATATTTGAAGATTTATTCGCGCGCTTTTTTCCCTAAGCAAGGCCACCAATAGGTACGAAACTTGAGGCCATAACTAGGTATGAAATTTGAGGCAGGCAATTAATCGATAGTTTAGTTTTATTTGTTCAACTTAGTTCGAGAGGTCATCAAAGGACTCACAAACAATTTGCGAGATTAAAAAATGCCGAGTTGGTTTTTCACTAAACATTTTGCTGCAAATGCATTCAGCGCGAGGGTCTTACACAAGAAACAGGTCCCTCAGAACCCCAATCCACAGTAAACACAACTGTAGATACGTACAACAAAACCATACCAGAATCCTGTCATAACTTAGTTCAGCAGAATTCGCAGACAGGCACTTGCAAGTTTCTAGGCAACAAAGAATCATGTTGCTTAAAAGATGTCATAGCCATCTTCGCTAATGTCAGAATAGTCCAGGAACAAATCATCATACATCAGTTCAATATCAGAATAGCCAGACGGATAGTAGTCGTCTTCACCATCAAAATACCCATCCCACTCGCACTCAGCCATAAACCCATAATCATGAGTGGAATCATACGGAAGTCTCAGCTCTTTAATTCTCGCACATTTTGCTTTAAGATTTGCATCTGAGTCCAGATTCACTCGGAAACAACAGCGGAGATCGAGGTGCTCAAGGTGAATGCATCTATCAACAATTTCTGAAAGCCCTTTGTTAGTGAGCTTGTTTCCGACTAGTTGGAGCTGGCGCAACTCAGGCATGTTGTTCGCTATTCCCAGTGCCTCCTCATCACTCTCAAATTGATCATACCTGTTTCCTTGTTTATTAAGATGGAAGCATTTAAGATGTGGGCAGGCTTTACCAACATACTCACATACTCTTTCACTGTATGACCCAAATGTAATGTCAAGCTCCTCCAGCTGGGGCAACTGACCAACTGCTTCACACAACCCCTCATCGCTAATGCCATAAGCTGAAATTAGCCGGAGGCACCTCAAGTTACTAGTCCTGTGAATAAAAAAAAGAGGTTAAGGAGCTAAGTTTCAAACTCAGAGTAGAAAAGACCACAATAATAACAAAATCCACCTTTTCCCTCTTCCTCTTCTCCCTTTTTTTCCCCGATATAGACTTAAGAATATGATAACAAACTGCCTTAGAAAATAAGATCATATAATAACTTTTGAAGTTCATTTCCATTACACCAAAACTCTAAAGTTGTGGTGAGGGTTGAGGGTTACATTTTCATATTCTACCATGCCCTGCAGGTTGAGCGCCCTTTTTATGGGCCGAAACCTGGACTCACATAGCAGTGTTAATTTTTAGAAAATCCGCTTTAAATTTGTGGCCGGTGGATTTGAACGTGGGTTGCTGTGATACGATCTTAAAGACACCTAAACATTATACCAAAAACTCCGAAGTCATGATGAGGATTGAGGGATATATTTTTATATTCTAACAATAACATCGCAGATCAACATAGGGAAAACTCATACCTGATTGAAAGAAGAAATAGTTTAGTCAGCTCGGATTTACTGGCCTTTCCCCTTGAAGATGAGGCAGCTCAGCACAAATTAAAACATAGGTAGTTGCATAGAAAAATTGTTAACATTTTGAATTGCTCCCTATCTGATAGCTATATGATTACAAGTTGTCAAGCATATTTTTCTGAAGGAGAGGAATTTTTCCATAAACTAATCTAACAAGAGAAGTTACAGCAAATAAGAAAGCAACATGATTAATTTGTACGGGATATGCCCTTTCCTTTGAACAATGTATGGATTAATTAACGTTGAAAAGAAAACATGGATAATAGATTGAGGACAAAAACAAAAAACCAAATAGGAAAGTAAAGGGAAAAAAGGGAAATTCAAGAAAAGGATGTCCAATTTGGAAGAACCTCCAAAGGAATAAGCAGAAATAAATGGAATTTAGAGACTGAAGTGAGTTGGGGTTCAGGGGAAGAGGGGCACAGGAACTGTTACAAAGATAGTCAGCCTGGATAGAATACTTTTTAATATTACAATCTATACTAAGAATGGTGTTTAATCATATGCATGCATAATGCATAATCCAATCGTTAGGGGAACAATAAAATTATGTAGAATTACATCAAGGGTTTATATACTTTGACTGCTGAAAATCCCCAAAAACCAGAAAAATATATGAGAAATTCGACACTGTATAGATATTAACAATTTATATTGGTATGTCTCCTTCGAACTTGGATCCTTTCAAATTATTGCATGTCAGTGGAAAGACCACATTTCAAATCTAAATGCTCATGATCATCTATATTTAAGATGATCATGGTCCATTCCAAATATAATCATCACCAAATCCTTTGTGAATTGCACCCGGTTCCCAGTGTTAAAGGCGAAAAGCAAGGTAAAAGCAACAAGGTCCTGTGTAGCCTGAGGCGAGAGGAGACAGAAAAGGTGATTCACTTGAGTAAAAAAAGGCAATAAATATTCAAAAATAACAAAAATTACATATAATATACTATCAAACAGAGTGACAACAAACAAACAGCAAAACTTTATACTAAATCTTTTGGATCGGCTACATGAATCTTACTCCACCATTCAGTTCTCAAGTAAGGGTTGTCTCCTAGTCCTATGTTAGGTTGACTGACCATTATCATCCTTCTTAACTACTTCCAACAAAAAGTTCTCTTAGGCCTACCTCTGCCTCCTTACCTACTAACTATAATTTTATCAATTTTCATAAGTGGTGCATTCAGCGTCCTCCGTTGCACGAGACCAAGGTATCATCATTTTTTCTCTCATTTTATCCTCAATAGGATCAACCTCTAACTTCCTATGAATACACTCATCTTTAATCTCACCTCTTGGTGCATATCTACAAGTCCATCGTAACATTCTCATTCTACAACACTCATTTTTGCACATGTGTTTCCTAATTGCTATGTTGTCCTATAAATAATATACATGAAACACAATATCAATAAATTACAATGAGAAATAGATGAATCACAACCGAATGTTAGAACTTAGAAGTTAAAAACTACGATAACTAACAACATACAAATTATCTACATTAAATAATAACTCACAAGTCACAAGTATAAATAGTAAATTCAAACATGAATAATTTAAGGTATAAGTTGTATACTGTCGAGGTTCAACATGTGAGATGTCCTGAAAAAGATAAAGGTCGCATTACTACGAAAAATAAACCAAAAATAGAAATTAAAAACAAAATTCTAAAAAGTTAAAATTTACCAAAGGGAACCAAGGGTGGTCTAAGGTGGTCACCAAATGCCAAGGAATTAAAAAAAGCAGAGAGGATTAAAGAATTGTAATCCTTGATAATTTCTAAATTGGCCTGATACATTCATCCTAACCTTTTATTTGTTGAAATATAGCGTACCCTAATGGAGTACATTCAAAGTAAATTACCATTTCATTGCTAAGTTCAGGATATGTCGAAACGAACATTTAACACACGTTCATCAAGTATCGGAGTTTCCAGGTATCTGATATGTATCAGATAAGGATACTCCTCCTGCAAAGTATAGGTGCTATATAGGTGCCAGTGCCCCAGAATATCTACTATATATCTATCGAGCTATACTAGAACACAGGACTGAATCCCAAACCCATGTATTTCCATACTAAATCCGGTTTAAAAGTGAATGGATGCACAACACAACAACACATATATCTTACTGTTAAACTTGTGCGAAACAGCAGATTGGATAGTTAATCCAGTTATCAATATTATCAGCAGTAAAAAGGAACCACCGTCACTCTAAGAGTAACGGTAAGTAGCCATGCATGGCTATTCTAACTAACACAATTCACAAAATTAACTATACTTACTCTCCTGGTTAATTAACTTAAATAACAGCACATTTGAAAAAAAAACACTCATTGACTAGCTCAAGAATGCAAGTAGACATGCAACAACGCACCAAATTCCAATGGAGGGCGCTGCAAATCATATATCCTCGATTCATCTTAGCTTAAATTATTTAGTATTTAGTGACCCCAGAAGTTTGGAAAAGAATTAAAAGGCTTTTAGTTGTCTTGTCAGGTTATCCATTAATTTGGTTCATTCAACTTTAGCGCATTGGATACGATTGAGAAAAGAAGAAAAATAAAAGAGTGGAAAAAAAAGGAAAAACCTGTCAGCGACGTAGGACAAGAGATGATCAGAGCCGAGGTATTCAAGGGAGAGACCTCCAATTGGCCTTGGCTCCTATCACAGCCTCTTTTGTCATCCCTTCTACATCATTGCCGTCCCCTGGACATGTCATCGTCTTCACCACACTTCACCAATAAAATCAAAACAATAACAAACACCAATTCCCCGATCCTAATTATTAACGTTGTTTGTTCATATTATTTATATATATATATATATATATATATATATATATATATATATATTATATATATATATATTATATATATATATATATATATATTATATATAAACTTTAAGAAAAGCCACATTTATGGGTTGTGGTGTCAGAATTTTCCATAAATTCCAGAAATGCCCTGGCATTTTAAACTCAAAATAAATACCTTTACGCTTGCAATAAACAACAAAATGCTCTCACCAGTGTAAAAATCAAACCGAAATGTCTTCAATTTTTTGCATCATGCAAGCATTGCGTGCACCAAAGAACTAGTATATATATAGAGTAATGATATTGTGAGCTGGTGAGCTCAAACCTTATCGTGAGCTAGACTAATCGGCTCATCAAATTCAAAATAACCACTGTACGTCTTGTTAAAAACATGATAAAACTTTCATAAAGTTTAGAAGCTTCCAAAATAGAATCAAATTAGTTTAATATGTTAACTTTTTAGACCACCTAATAGCCGTCCCTTTTGTACGCATCTAAAAACAATAATTAAATTTTTTTTTAAATAATATATATATTTTCTAGATATAGATCATGATGAGTGCAAATCATGATGGGCAGTGCCGATCATCATTTTGAATAGCCTTACTGTGCTAGCTCGCGACAAGAATCTAAGCTCAACAAAAGTGTCAAACTAGAGAGAAATTTAAAATAAAGAAATTGAGAAGCAAAGGCAAATCTACCTTCCAGATGGAAGGGTCCAAGGATAGATTACGCCATGGACGACAGACTAACTGGGCGTTCATCAGAATCTCAACCGCCCCTGCCTTCTTGAAAATTACGGACAGGACATCATGAGGCAGCTCCGCCCAATTCCTCTCTTCTTCTTCTTCTTCTTCTTTTTTCTCCTTCCCCTTTTCGGCTTCTCCTCCGCCGCCCCCGCTGCTCATCGCTTTACTACTTTCCTATCAACAACAGATGCACACGATCTTTTTTTTTTTTTTTTTTTGGCTTTGCCCTACCTACAGAAAAAGGGCAACGGAAAAGGGTGGGGCGAAAAGACAGAAGTGGAACCGTACTTAGGCTTTTTTTTTTTTTTTTTTTTTTGGCTTTGCCCTACCTACAGAAAAAGGGCAACGGAAAAGGGTGGGGCGAAAAGACAGAAGTGGAACCGTACTTAGGCAGACCATTTTTACTTTTACACCCTTGTCCTTTCCCTATTTTAAAAACAAATAACCTCCACGAAGAGTAAACTGCAAAAATGTAGCCCCACTCTGCTCATCTCCATATTTTGGGGCTTTACCTCCCAGTAACTTTTTAAGGGTAATTTTCAAATAAAAAAAACCCTCTCAGCTTGGGTTTTTTACCCAACTTTGAAAATCATAGAGAGAAGCGCAAAACTACTTGGGAGTTTCCATGCTTCCTAAAGAAAGTTGAAGTTAAACAAATGGAAAATGATAGGGGCACACCCAACCACACCCCCTCTCTCATTTGCTACAGTACGCCGGGCCCCACATGTGATTTTAAATTTTTAAAATCGCATGTGGAGCCCGGTGTACTGTAGCAAATGAGAGAGGGGGTGTGGTTGGAGGTGTGGTTGGAGGTGTGCCCCTAGTGCCACCCTAAACAAATATATGTCTGCTACTATTATTTAAGAAAAACGCTTTTCTCTTTTTCTTTTTTGCGTTCTACCCTATATATGAATTTTGAATTCAAATAATTCTATGAAATGTCCCTAAAATCTATGCATATAGTTTAAGAATCATTAAAAGAATAATCCTAAAAAACTTAGAAGATTGTTATTTCAACTCCATTCATCACACGTTCTCCATAAGGACCCAGCTATCCCTATTAACCACCACTGACTATCTTAATACCTCACTTACTCATCATTCCCTTCAACAAATCGTCATTTTTAACCTAAAAATTGAATTTTTTACGCACGCATGGCGCGCACAAGAAATACTAGCGCCCCTTTTAATAGAACACCATCAGGGCAGGGAGTTTGCTGGCAAAATGTTCATGTTTAGAAGAAGGATATTGTAAAACACCCCAAGATTCAGGCGGTTTAGTGGGAAAAGAGTTTTAGTTTACGAAAGGAGGAGGATATACATTACTAAAGATCAGTGTTGAATTCCTTTAAACCAGTAATAGAGTATCGAAGTGTCCCTCTCAAACTACATGCACCAGACCAGACATAATACTGTTCTACAATTCCAAAAACATTATTAACAGTAAGTTTGGAAGTCTACTGGCCTTTGATGTCGATAATAACAGTAAGTTTGGAAGCCTACTGGCCTTTGTTGTTGATAATAGTTGAAGAGCGTAAGAGTTCAGATATTGAAGAAGTTGGCGTATATCAAGGCTGTCGTACGTGACTTCTCCTAATAAAAATCCCATGACAATACCGTAACTAGCTCTAGTGTGGGAGGAGGTTAATCTGCCTTCGTGTTTTCTCCTGTATAAATAAACAAAATGTACATGCATCTTCTTTACTTGCAGAAGCAAGGGATATATGGATTACTGGCATCATCTATTGCTGCTGCTGCTGCTGTTATTATTATTATTATCATCATCATCATCATCATCACCTCGCCCATTATTTATCTATCCTGATCACCACACGCTAATTAACAAACTGAAGGATGGAACGGGTTGGGCAGCTAGGGTACTGTCAAGAGTAGAAACGAGGAGGGAGCCTGGGCGTGGCCCGGGCAAACAGTGGCTTCGCCTTAGGCATGGTCATCCCGTAAACCTCTTGGGTATCAATCTTCTTCATGCCGTTGTCTGGTGGGGCCCAGTTGAAACACTGGAAGAGGCTGGCAACGCCAACAGAACCATGGCCACGCCCAGTCGGGCGCGCGGGGCACCTCCTTCTTCCCGCACTGAAGGGCAATTATCTTGAAATCAACCCGTGACTTATCTCACTCGCTGCTGCCTGCTGCTGCCTGCTGATGCTGCCTGATGCCGCTGCCTCTCACGATCAAAACTCATCGACGTTGTTGCCCCACACGTGGGGATTGCGCCCCAGTGCATGGGTGTTGATGAAAACACGCGTCCCTGAGGGAACGTAGAAGCCCATTAGGTGAGTCGGCCTTATGGATTCATGGGGAATTAGGAACGGGCCTGCTGGGTGCATTCTGAAGGTCTCCCTCACTACACATCTCAGGTAAGTCAGATGGGGGAGGTCTGACTCCATCACCAGCCGTTCACGCCCCACCACCCTGTCTAGCTCTTCTTGTATTTTATGGAGGACGGAAGGATGGTTTATGACCTCAGTCATTGCCCATTCGTTCGTCACTGCAGACGTGTCGGTGGCAGCAGCGATCATGTCCTGGGAGGAAGAAAACACACACATTAATCTTAATTAGTTACATAATTTTATTACGGGTCCTCTAATTTAATTTTATCATAATTAATTAACAATCAATCAATTATGATCGCATAGTGAGTGCTAAATTACCTGCATAAGAGCTTTGATCTCAACATCGTCCATATGTTCCTTGCCATCCTCGCCAGGCAAAGACAATAAAACGTCTACAAAGTCCATCATCATATGATCATCACCGCCACTACAGCCTAACCTCTTCTTCCTGTGCTCCTCGATTATCCTCTGATGGAACTCATCCACCTTCCTCTCTACATGCTTCATCTTCTTCTCACACCCCGTAGGATCAATCCACCTCCACACGGGCAGGTAGTCGCCAGCATATATCAACCCCAACAGCCTAAACAACTCGTGGGTTATTCCCATGAACTCCACTGCCTCCTTCTGCCCTGCACTCTCTGTCCCAAAGTACTGCTTCCCTAGCAGCATCCTAGTTACATTGTTCATGGAAAAGGCTCCCAACAACTCCCTAAGGTTCACCGGCTCCCCAGCCTGGGACCTGGACCACACTTGTTTAACTAGATGCTGAGCCTCATGTGCCCGATGCCCTGCAAAGGAGCCGAGGCGTTTGGTGGTCAGCAGGTGCTCCATGCAAATCCTGCGCATCCATTTCCAGTGGGGGCCTAAAGGTGCAAGCGCAACGTCCCCAGAGCCATAAGCCAGATAGGTGGCTGCCAGGGTTCTGGGCCTTGATGCAAACACTTCGTCTTGCCGAATCAGGATCTCTCGGATAACATTGGGGTCATCAGTGGTGATGGCATCTACGCTCCCCAACCGGAGATAGACGAGGGGACCGTAAGTGGTGCAGAAATCAGCGAAGTCCCTGTGAGGGAGAGGACCCAACTGTAGGAGGTTCCCAATGATGGGCCATCTCGGTGGACCTGGCGGCAACCTTACTGAGCTGCCTCTCTTTCTCCTTCTTTCTAGCCTAAACATCAACACCAAATATAATATCAACAATATCATGATAACAAATGGAACTAAAATCAATATACCCATTTCAACGTTAATCACTTGATGATGGATTCTATTTTGCTTTTTTTTTAGAGTAAGCACAACCAACTGCCTAAGCCCTAAGGTAAGGAATTAGCCTCTATAGATACCGGAGATCATGATTTCTGCATGTTCATTTTTGGAGGTGATTGTGTTAGTTGAAAATCAACTTAGGAATGAGCATGATCTTGGCGTGCAATAGAAATAGCAGAGATTTTGTTGGGCCAGTAAGGAGGACGCGGATGATCATATGGAAGCTTCTAATGTATCGATGAGTGTCATAATACTTGGAGAAGGAAAGATGATGACTAGCCTTGGTTGGTGAATCATGCACTTATAATGCACCGTCAACGATGTAAATATGTCGTTTACTGCGGGTTAATCATGCACTAAAAGTTATAGGGTACTTACAGATATGACCTTCCAAATCATACATTCTAAATTTTAGCATATATTTGCAATCCTCTGGCTTCCCTTAATTGATGTCTACATAAGTAGAACTTCCGGAAATAAACCTTCTCTCAAAACATAAAGTTTAGAAACATAACCATCAATCAATTAATTTAGTAATGCCCGCAGCTACCTAGTCTATCAAGTTTACAATCCCGTCCTTCATTGCTGCCCCATGTCTTACCCTTGCCAGCAGCAGACACACAACAAAGGACATATGCCGAATGATCTTCATTCCGGATCACTGAAGCTCTTGCTATGTAACAACTTGATGAGGAATACAGAAAAATTAATTGAAGCTAAGAGACATATACATTTTACTCGTACAGAGCACCCGATTGCAGCGACCTGATGATATATGCTTCTCGTAATACTTTCAAGCCATAGAGGGCATAGAAACTGCCCAACACATCAGAAACAGGGACACCTGATATCCAAAATCCTCCAAGGTGAGACACGGATCAGTGGGAAAAGACTATCATGCTCTGTCATCTGAAATTGCAGCAATTGGCTCGGCCTCTAGCCAATTTATCCCACAAGCAAATCATTTGTCTTGGGGATTGATAGTGAGCAGTGTAATAGTTCTCCATGCAGCCGTACTGACAAAATTTCCAATTGTGAGAATATTGGACTGCCGTAGTGGTGTTAAACTGCTCGACCCACATGCCCATACTCACATCCTCCATCTTGAACAGCTGCAAATTTATTTATGTCAAACAGGATGTTTACTAGATATCAGTGCACAACATTCATTTCGCACTAAGTAAAAGGCAAGAACAGTCTCACCCTTAGGCTTTGATTCGCATGATGAAATACTATGAACTTTGCAATGTCACTTGAAATTATGTACCCAGGTCCATTGGCATATGGTGGATATATATCTTCTGGCCACTCCTGAGCAAGCACCAGAACCAGGAATAAGATGAGAAAAACTAAATCACTCAGCAAATGGAGAAGTCTAGTGGCAATATGGCAAGCAGGCTTTACAAGAGGATTGACTCAATTTCTCTAATTACTAGATTAACATAAAATCACTGTAATCTGGGGTAAGACTTCAACCTGCGGAAGTTAGCAAGAAAGGAATGTGGTGAAGCCTAGGAGGCCCACAATGGCTTTAAACAGGAACGGGTAGGGAGCAAATTCTCAAACCTACGAATTCGAGATTGGAAACCAAGGAGAAAAGTACAGCAAGATGATAGGCTTGCACAGCAGCGCTGCACTCCTTAAGGAGCCCCCTTTTGGAACAAAACTCCAATGGTAATTTCAAGCTAAAAAAGAAAATGCTAAAAATAATAAATAAAAATGTTGCACTGGCTGCTTACATTTTGTATATCTACTGGAAATTTTCTATAGTCAAGCAGTTTGGGCCAAAATAAAATTTTATTTCATCTTCTCTCAGAAGCATATAAATTATGGTCTAGACACTAGGTGGTATACACAATTAATTTAGGGGATGAGCTCATGCATAATCCACTAACTGCATAGTGCATTACCCTGGCTGATGCCAGATGCACATTACAATACAATGTACACTAAATAGGACGAAAGAAAAAGGAATTAACCTAGAAGATATTATGTTAACTCTAAAAGAGAGGAAGTTCAATTAAGAAGAGTTTCCTAGAATCTCAAAATCCCATGTCAGGAAATTACCTCATATGTTACTGCCCATTTTCCACTTCTTAGAGGCCGATGCAGGAGGTTAAGGTTACCCATGTAAAGAGATTTCTTCTGAGAAACACCCCTAATCTCCTTCAACACGGCATCCACCCTAATAAATGTATCGTCGTCACATTTCATTATGTATGCAGCAGTCAGATTTTGAACCTGCAGCATTAGTGATGATTGACAAAGAGTCGTCACATTTCATTATGTATGCAGCAGTCAGATTTTGAACCTGCAGCATTAGTGATGATTGACAAAGAGAGAACTATTATTTAGCGCACAATGAGACTCAGATTTTGAACCTGCAGCATTAGTGATGATTGACAAAGAGAGAACTATTATTTAGCGCACAATGAGACATAAAGGGTTCAACTAAGAAGCACCAAAGTAAATAGAACACACCCCATATTCGCAAATGGCCATTGTCTTAAGAACAACTAGCTCATAGCGATCCATAAATGGCAAGATCACAATATCTCCAAAATACTCTGCTTCCTTCTTTAGAACTGAATTGACCTCCTTCCTTGCATTCTAATTATCCACATAAGAAAATTTTATAGGTGAGTACTACTTCACAAAAATTATAGGAAAATGATGCAATAGCAGTGACTAAGATTCTGGTGTACAAAATTAAAATTCACACATTTAACCCATTTCTTCTTAGTCTAGAAGATGTGGAGGATGGCCTCAGTTGCATGAGCTAATAAGGGTGATTTTCTTACTCAAGCCTTTATGGGCATCCTTTTTATTAGCAATTTAGTGTAATGCACATCAAATTCACTTCTAATGATTTACAGTATCAGAATCGAATACACAGAAGCATGGAGCTAAAAAACAACCAAGACTTGATCACAGGCATTTACAAAATACCTACCAACGCGACAAAGAAACGAGCTACTACATTTGATGACTTGATGTTAGAAGATTGCATCCAGGTCTTACGAACAGCCATGCGCTCAGCAAAATGATTAGTTGCAGACAAAATGCCAATGAAAAGTTGAATGGGTTCCTCTGGTAGAGGAGGAGATTTCCACTTATCTGACATTTCCAAGACTCGTTGAAGTGAAAAACTTGGATGAGATTTGGGTAGGGAAGTGGCATATACTGAATGTACCTCCACATCTCCCTTGATGGCTAGACCTGTTGCATCTTCAAGAGTGAATCCCTGATAAAACACCCATCTACATTGTAAGACAATAATTTTAAAGCATAACACAACATGGGAGATCTGTATCCCTTCAGAAAACATTTTAGTGTCCAAAATTGGATCTTTGATATCATCAGTTCACCTAATCAACAAGAAAGTATGCTTGAAGATGGAAACTTAGAAGGAAAAAAACAGTATATAGCTTATCATACCGGTCGGTACGGGAATGATGTAACATGTCGGCCTCCAACATTAATGTGGTATCCTTCAACACCAGCTCGTAATGTTAAGATAAACAACCTTCCCTCAGCAAAAGGAAAAGGCCATGTCATTGCTGGCTTCTTTGCACGACCTATGAACCTACGCAACCAGGAAGTTGTTTTGGATTCTTTTAAGTCCACGATATCACTCCGTACCCATTTCTCGCATTTGTTGAACCCGTCAACTGTCCAGAAACAAATTCACGATTATAATTTCAAGATAACAGATGCAAGATCGAATATAGAGACGATATTGTGTCAACAATTTACAAAAAAAAAAATTAGACAATTCATCATACACTGGTAGACATTCTCAAACATGCTTGTGCTTGCCACAATAAATGCATCTATTCTGTGAGATGCACAAGGATTGGTTTCAGTTTCAAACCCTCTTGTACTTGTAGATTTTTCTTGTAATATCCATAAAATATTTTTAAGATTCATTAAAACTGTGCATTTCTCCTAAGAGCACTTAATCCAAAAATATGGATAGAAACTAAATACTCTTATATTGCTAAATTGTGAACTTGATGGTCATACCATAATTGGCTGAGTGCACACTCATAACAATTTGTTTCAAGCATAGATATGAAGAAAATAGATTTACAACTCAAGAACAAAATACTTAAGTTGAAAAGCAATATTGATAATACTTAAGAACGTATTAGATAATTATACAGAAATGTATTCATAAGATCATAACTCAAGTATACTGAAGTTTATGACGCGAAAATATATGTCAACTGTATATGTATGCACTTACAGAATTGAGTATTTTACTGTCAAGAATTGCATGCTATTGTAATCATTGCATGCATGATAATGGTTTACCATCTTTTATCTACATCTACATGGGATTCTATAGCAAAGAAATTGACTGTATTTTCAAATCCCATTGCAATCAATACAAAGAGAAAATGATGTATTCCCTTGGTGATCCTTTCGGGACCTTGACTTGTCACATGAGTCTGAATTTCATATTTCCGCATGTGAAAAGAAGTCTAAATATATTCATATAGAAGATGTTTCCTAATTAACATCGCGTCTTCAAAATTGTAACCTTCCCATGGCATATAAACTACTAACACATTTTTTCCTAAAGCGAGTTCCCCACCAACTGTAGCCGCACCATCCGCTAAAATATGTCCCTTTTTAATGCATTTACCCTGCAGAGCCTGGGTTTTTGGTGCATACAAGTATTTTTGTTGGAGTGTTGATACATAACTAATGGAACGCTTATAGTGTCCCCATCACTTAAGAAAATGATCTTATCAGTATAAATGTTCTTTCCTTCGCGTTCAGCTATAACAGGAACCCCAAAAAAACCCCAAAAAATGCACACATGCACACACACAGGAGAAAGAAAAAAAAAGGAACAAGGAAAAAAACCATAAAACACCGGCTAAATTTTTAGCTACAAGAAATAGCTTATGTTATTATGACGATTCACATGTATGCTTGGAGTGGCTTGATTTGTGAGGGTAAGCTTATAGTGACTACAATCACATTGTTAACCCTTTTGTCGTGCATATGAAAATTTTCAAAACATATCATTCTCATGTGTTCAATCATATTTGTGATTAATTTTACATTTCTGATGCTTGTGCCTCTTTTTTCTTGGGTCTGCTTCCAATTTCTCCCATGATATCTCAATAAAGGACTTAAAAATCAAAAACCTAGGACTTCTTAGTTTGAGAATCAACTATTTCCCTTGAAAATTGAGAAATCAACTGGAAAGATAAATAAACATGAGGATCAATTCACTTGCCATAAATTTTGATCAGTACAATTTTGAGCCATTCCAGATACAATCTTATCATGTTACTCCTGTACATAAATGAATAAATAATCTGAGAGATCTGATTTCCTGTGCAATCCAGCTATGAACTATAAGCTCGAATTGGATAGTGTCTGATTCCCTAGAAGAAGCCTTATACAATCTGATCACAAAATCTATTCATGCTACATTGCCCTTCTGGAATTTTAGATCTATAATTGTAGCTCTTAGAATTTCTATGAGCTTTTTGGAGTACATTTGAGAATCTAGAAAAGGTATGTAGGCTCACCAATAAAAACATAATTTGATTTAGTATTTTAATATATGAAACTGTTGTGTGACTTGAGAAACATAATCTTTTTGAAATATAGGAGTATTTTGTCAAACACATTATGCCGATTATGCATCTCCTAGTATCTCATATACTTGAAAGGGAAATTGATGGCATAGTTTTCTAGATATGTCTTTTCCTATTATTTCATAATTTTCCAGGTATCATCTTTTCCACTTTAAATCTAACACGTTCATCTTGTCCAAGGGCGCCTTTTTTATTTTTGGAAAATGAAGCATGGTTCCACAGACCATGTTCGTAAGTAAAGCTAAGACAAGACAAGTAAGTTATATACTTATATCTATTACATGAGAATTCATGCTGCACCTGAAATCTTAGAAACAGGCACCCACAAAGCAAAATTCATCTACGCTTTTTTGTTTGGATATGGAAGAAAATTGTGCTCCAAACAACCAATGATCATAAAGGTCAACAATTAAGGCAAATTGTACGATTAGTAGATGACACATACATCATGCTGCAGCATGGACAGGCATAGGAATCCGCAAAAGCCTTAAGCATGTTGAGAGTTAATCCCACATACAGTTTCCTGCATCTGGGTTTGCCTAACAATAAGAAGAACTTTGAACAGTAAAATAATAACTATAATATGGATTTTGCTAAAGAAAAAGTGGGAACTCAATGCTTTACCAAGTGGCAAGTAAATGGAAGCAGGAATATTTCTTCTCCTAGACATATGGGCATATGCTGCATGTTGCATCAGGGAGGAGTTGGCAGTAGAGATCCATAACAAGAAAAAAGAGTCTCAGCTCTCTCTCTCTCTCTCTCTCTCTCTCTCTCTCTCTCTCTCTCTCTCTCTCTCTCTCTCTCTCTTTTTTTTTGGCTCCTATGGTCATACATTTCAAATGTTTTTTTGTCTTATGATATGGAGTTTAGAATTCAGATGTGCTACATTTAGGTACAACCGAGTTTGGCCACAAGGTCGAAAAAGTGGATAGCATGAATTGGAATTTAGGAATCCAGGTAGAATCTAAAATTAGGTTTAACATGGATTTTTTAACAGTACCCGAGTCATCATCATCCTTGGAGGGGAGGCCATTGCACCGCATGGCTTTGCCCCACTGCATCCTGTAACAGGTGTTGTGCTCAATGACGGGTGTATGACTCCAATCTCCCCTCAATCTTGGATTGAGATGCAAGATCCTCGGGGGATCCTCGCCGTCCACTGCTTTCAGACCTTGAAGCTCCACCGAAAACTGAGAAACCAACACCACATTGTCCCCCTTCTCATGCTCTTCATGAGCCTCAAGCGGCTTTCCAATGATAGTAATGGCGGAGCCAACAGAAAGACCGCAGGGCAAGAACATGAGCCTCTCCCCGTCGACCCCAGCC